GGATTTTTTTGGGTGAATTTTGGGGTTTTTTGGGTGAATTTGGGGATTTTTTGGGGTGAATTTTGGGGTGAATTTGGGGGGTTTTTTAGGTGAATTTTGAGGTATTTTTGGGTAAATTCTGGGGGGTTTTTGGGGGTGAATTTGGGGGGTTTTTTGTGTGAATTCTGGGGGTTTTTTGGGGTGAATTTGGGGGTGTTTTTTAGGTGAAATTGGGGTTTCTTGAGATGTATTTTGAGTTTTTTAGGGTGAATTTTGGGGTTTTTTTAAGTGAATTTTGAGGTATTTTTGGGTGATTTCTGGGAGTTTTTTTGGGTGAATTCTGGGGTTTTTTTGTGTGAATTCTGGTGTATTTTGGGGTGAATTTGGGGGTTTTTGGGGGTCTCACCCTCAGGCCGCCGCCCCCTCGAATTTCTTCTTGCGCCCCTCCATGCCGCTCATGGCGTCCACGTTCTTGCGCCAGTCCCCGACCTCGTAACTCTCCTGAGACCCAAAACGTCCCAAAACGTCCCCAAAAACACCCCAGGAACAGCCAGAAACGACACCCCAAAAACAACAAAACCCCTACTCAAAACAGCCCCCAAAAAAGCTAAAAACCGCCTCAAAATGACGCCAAAATCAACCCAAAACGGGACTGAAAACTTCATTAAAAAATGATAAAAATTCACTAAAATCCACATTAAAAAAAACACTAAAAGCTGCTAAAAAATACTGAAAAATGTTAAAAAAATTATAGCAAAAATTAAAAAAAAAATAGCAAAAAAATGTTAAAAAACCCATAATAAAACCACTAAAAGCTCACCCAAAAAATCGTTAAATAAACATAAAAAATCCACCCAAAAGCCCGTAAAAAATTTCACAAAATAAAACGTTAAGAAAACCACAAAAAAACCACAAAAATCTCACCAAAAATTCGTTTAAAAATCCAACAAAAAGCCCAGAAATAATCCACCAAAAAATCACAGAAATCTCACCAAAAAAAGGCCAAAAAAGTCACCAAAAAAACCACAAAAACACCTCTGAAAACACATCAAAAAACCACTAAAAAGTCACAAAAAACCACTAAAAACCCACCAAAAAAAACCCACTAAAAATCCGCACAAAAAACATTAAAACCCCACTAAAAACCTACCAAAAATCCATAAAGAAACCACTAAAAAGTCACAAAAAACCCACTAAAAAACCTCTAAAACACTGCTAAAAACCCACCCAAAATCCATAAAGAAACCACTAAAAAGTTACAAAAAAATCCACTAAAAATCCACAAAAAAAACCCACTAAAACCCCACTAAAAACCCAAAAAAATCCACTAAAAATCCACAAAAAAAACCCACTAAAACCCCACTAAAAACCCACAAAAAATCCATTAAAAAACCACTAAAAAGTCACAAAAAAACCACTAAAACCCCACTAAAACCCCACAAAAAAATCCATAAAAACCCACTAAAAACACCCCTAAAAAACTCCAAAAGAACTCCAGTAAAACCCCACCAGAAACCCGACTAAAGCCCCACTAAAAACCCACAAAAAATCCATTAAAAAACCACTAAAAAGTCACAAAAAAACCCACTAAAAACCCACACAAAAACCACTAAAACCCCACTAAAGCCCCACAAAAAATCCATAAAGAAACCACTAAAAAGTCACAAAAAACCCCACAAAAAACCCATAAAGAAACCACTAAAAAGTCACAAAAAAACCACTAAAAATCCATGCATAAAGCACTAAAACCCCACTAAAACCCCACAAAAAAATCCATAAAAAACCACTAAAAACACCCCTAAAAAACCCGCAAAAAACCCCAGTGAAACCCCTCAAAAATCCCCACTAAAACCCCCCCAAACCCCACCCCGCGCGCTTCCCCGCTTTCCCTCTCACCTTCTCGGCGTCGTCCTTGCGCACCTGGCGCAGCCCGGCCCTCAGGTCGGTGCCCACGCGCGGTTTGGTGCCCAGCAGCGCCGCCATCATGGCGTCGGCCGACAGCCTCACCCTCCTCAGGTTGGGCCTCACGAAACGCCCGGCGGCCACGCGGCGCCGCAGCTCCTCCAGCTGCGGGGGGGGGACACCGGGGAGGCGTCGGGGACGCGTGGGGATAACCGGGACGGCCCGGTTCGCACCGGCACCCGCCCCGCGCG